CACCGGTCGCCTCTTCAGAGAAGGGAGAAGTGATTTGTCCATCTCTCTTCGTCGGGGTGATGTCTTTCAGAATTGGCATGTCATTGTCATTTCCGGCATCATAGACAAGAGTGAAGGTTGTTTTGCAACCACTATTGTCGTGTTGATCTACCATGATTGATTTTTGGAGTTTTTCTGCTTTGATCTTTCAGTTTCAGGTAGAGGAAATATAGGGGAGAAAGTTTCCCACAGACGGCACCACTGATCTTACCTGTGATCAGAAGTAAATCAGTGTCCAGCAACACGTCGCGGTCTCCAAAGTCAAGTGAGGAAAAATGGGGGGTACTTGCAAGGCATTCTGATGCTAAAGTTAGTTCAGAGTGAAAGAATGCAAGTACAAAGGTTAATAAGTGAATTGAATATCTGACCCTCCTTCAGAGGAGAGTATTTATAGAGAGCCCCCATCGTTGCGCCAACGGTCTCCATTATGGACTGAGTGATCAGGCTCATAATGGATGACTTCTAGGATTTCTACGTGGAGGTAGGGATGAATAGCTCGTGCTCATCATCCTAGGTCAAATGCCCTGCATTCTTCGGAAAGTGGAAGACTTGCCCGTTACGAAGGGCAGAATGTTTCCACGAGGTACGCGGGATCAGTTGGCCATGTGTCCTCGGGTGAGGATCACATGGGGTATGTGCTCTCCAACAGCTATAATGCATTGGGCCTTCTTCGATGCAGAGTTGGACTTGGTTGTGCCCGACGGTGGGTCAGTCTCAGACCTAGTCCAGAACAATAACGATTGGTGAAGATGAATTTGAAGGTTTAAGAAAGTTTAAAGAGTGACATGGATGTTAGGGTTATGTTATGAGAGAGAAAAGTGAAATATATTAGGGTTTTAATTTGAGAGAAATGATTTTTATGTACTGAACGATAGATACTTTCGCTTATATCGTAAAAAAAATATCACATTTCATCACGGTTAGAAAGAAAAACCGTGATATAATATATCACTGTTCATCACGGTTAGAAAGAAAAATCATGATATAATTTTAAACTTTTATAACGGTTCTTTAGTAAAACCGTGGTTAAATCTATCACAATTTATTTATTTATTTATGAACCCAATTGTTAGAGAGGTATTAATTATTGTTATAGTTATTTTTCATTACTGTTTCGATTGTTGTTTTTATTTTTGTTGGCTTGTACTATTTTTTGTAAAATAATAATATATAGTGATATAAATGAAAAAGTATATATAACAATAATAAATATTTTCATTAAGAGGGTGAAGTACATAAATTATTTCATTACATATTGTCAATGTCGGAACAATAACCCATAGCAGCAAAGGAATCTTCATAATCTATGACTCTCTTCTCACTATCCTCGTCAAAATCATAGTAACAAATCTTTCTGAGCACCTTTCTTCTTCTTCTTCTTCGGCTTGTTCTTATTCTTCTTCTTGGCCTTCTTAACCCTAAGTGTATCCCTGATAGCAGTCGATCCAGATGGCTGAACCTCTTCAGTTGACTGCTAATCATGGTGTTGTACTGTGGTAACTTCAGTTGAGATATTTTTGTTAGCATTTTCAGATGGAGAACTCATGTTGCTATATGTAGTTAAGAAGAATAGTTTTGAAAAAGTGGAAATTCATTATATGAAACTTTGCCTTTATAGAGGAGGTTAAAGATGAAAGATCTGATGATTTAATGCTTGAAATGATTACTTCCAATGGTTTATATTCTTGAATGACATTGTGACCGTCTTAAAAACTGAAGAAAATTTTCAATCATCGTTATAGTTGGGAAGAACGTTTCTCTCTTTAGGGAAGTGTAAAGGTTGTACAGATAATATTACAATGGTTAATTATTAAGTCTGTGATTAAATAATCTTCAATTTTTATTTATTTATGAACTTAAGTGACACACGTTTTTCGTAATAGGAAAAAATGGAAAACATGTAGATACCAGGATTTGAACCATGTACCACTCACTTTATCACCACGATTGTGTCTATCAACCGTGATAAAATGACTTTCAAAAAAATAAGGCGCATCCAGTTTCATATATTACAACGGTGGATGGAATGACCGTGGTAATATAATATTATTGAATGTGTATTTTGTAGTAGTTGGGTCCCACTATCTCTAAACCTAACTATTTATATTTGCTCGCATTGACCGGCTCTACTAACGTGACCTCTTTCAGAGGTATTTCACAAGCCTTAAAGATCTCAAAGGGATTGAGCCAACTAACATCATCCGACCAAGATCCACTCATCAAATGACCCTTAAGTTCATCATCGTTGGGATCCCGACCATAAGCATTTTGGTAATTCTTGATGAAATTGTTTGCATCCTCCCTATTTAAAATGGAAGCCTCCATCTCCATAGTCTGCAAAGCAGGGGAAGATGAAGCTCCCACAACTTTAGATGGTGTAAGCATAAAGCTAATGACGCGATCATCTCTTGCGTTTTCATCATTGCCAGAAAAGAGAGCATCGAAGGAAGAATTACTAGAGGAAGCTTGCTCTTACAAAGAACCTTTAGAAATATTTTTCGACTCAGAGTCATTAGATACAAGTATAACTACATGGATTGATTGGCTTTTAACTAAGTAATGAGAATCTAGACTATAAGATGTTTCTTCCCTAACTAAAGGAGAAGAATCACTACTCCATAAATTACTAGACAAATTTATGGGGCTATTATTTAGGGTAGCCATGGTAAAGTAAATATTGAAAATATGAAGCAAGCTTAGGGTAATAAGGGTATCTGGGAGAAGTAGACTCTAACGAGAAAGGTGAATGTCAAATGCAAAATGGAAGGCGTTAATCAAGGAATAACAAACACTCTAAGAAATTCTCTTGGAGAAGAGGAAAAAAGTACACTCGTAAATAGAAACGGATTCTCAAGGATAGCGAAAAGTTTTCTCAAAATTCAATAGGCCTTGTATATAGAAGAAGTTGTTCAACGGATTAGGTCAATGAAAATGAAAATTCTCAATGCAACGGTTGGATTTTTCCTAATAAATGCAAATAAACTCAAGTGCACTCAAATGCACTATGGGGAAGCATCATACCCTAAAATGCTAGCCTAAAGACACTCGATTAGAAAAACTAGCAAAGCATTTCAATGATGGGAGAACATTTAATATGCTTTCTCCTTATTACTTTGGTAACTTTTCCACGACCTCCTTGTTTCTCGTTATGATCATATATAACCTCCAGAGGCCGACCATGAATTTGAAAGACTTCCCGACCAATAATCGTCTGACAAACCCCAGGGGCAACTATTATGGGTCGGCCGAAGGCCCGTGATGAATACTCAATCATGCATAAGCCTAATAGAGACGATCCAAGGTATATAACCAATACACGCAAGATCCAAGGTACATTTTTTTGATCTCTACTTTTCACTATACTCATATTGGACTCTAAACTGACTTGGGTGTTGGAGTGCTAACCATGCAGATTCAACCTACACCACCGTACCAGAGATTATCCTCCCCGATCCCAAAGTACCACATCATCAACCAAATCTAATTTTGGTTCTGATACGGGTCATGTTATTTTTCTTTTACAATGCATGATATAATAAGCATGTATGAAGGAGATAAGGTAATCAAATAGACATGCACTTGGAAACAAATACAACATATGTTGGTCTTGATTCATTATAGCCCTTAATATCCAGAATACACATACCACAAGAAAAGAGATATAGCTGCTAATGGACTCAACTTTACAAAGTTAAGTTATGTCATGTTATTGAAAGAAACTGGGACTGTCATAGCCAAGTTTGATACACATGTGACATGTTTTGAGAAATAGAACAGTCTCAACTCTTAAACAAAATGGAGATCACCCAATTCAACTTCCTTACATCTTATACTTGTTAAGACTTCAATATATGAACCATATCTTAGATAAGCCATGTCATGTGTGTGTGGTTTTTCAAGTGTGGGATCCTTTAACCTATACCTTGAGGAAGAGATATATAGTTGTTGTAATCTAGAGGAACACATAGTCATGAGGATATTTTATCAGCCTTGACTCGCTTGAATTCACTCCATCAAGTAGTGTGGTAGGTGTTTCATCTTTAAGAATATCTTAAGATGTGGGGAGGTCTCCCATATGCCTAACATGTGTTCATTATCGTCGAGCATTATTTAATTCCTCCATAAGCACCCTACATATTTATAAATGAATGGGCCAAGGTCGTTAATACCATATAAATTTGAGTTAAAATATGACAATTTCTTAAAGCATCCTATATGTTTTTAATGTACTATGCTAATTTTCAAAAATATTTTTCATTTCCGGAGATACATCTTCAAAAACACTCCGATACATATATTTCATTCGATTTTTAGTCACACTTTAATTTTATAAATAAATTTATTTCGAAAATACATCTCCGAAAAAATTTCGAAAATATATTTCTAGAAGTTAAAAATTTAGCTTAATATATAGAATGTAGCACCAAACAATTTTAACATAACATTGCAAGTTCGCAACAATATTTTCAAAATGTCTCAACATAACACCTAAAGAGAAATAATGACAAATCCATTTTACAATTTCCCTTTAAATTTTTTCTATAGCTTCTTATACACTGCCAGGAGTACATCATAACCAAGACATTTGAATAGATTTTGTAAAATAAAGTACCTAACTAAAAAATATGAAAATTAGAGTTATATGTATCAATATTAGTTTTTATTTATAAGTAAAAATGTAATTACCTTAATTTCTTCTAAGTTGATTAAAAAGAATGCTGTCAATTTCTTGGACAACAATAATTTAACAAGAACGCTGTCAATTTCTTGTGCAAGAGTAATTTTTAATACAAAAATTGCTTATTACTCAGCAACTATATATGTGATAGAAATTATAGTGACACCAATTAGATATTAAGTGTATCTCATAGTCTATTAATTCAAGCAAATTCTACTCATTTATATTAGGACTCACTCCAACCTCTCTATCTCACAGTCCCTTTCTTACTTTTGATTTCAGCATGAACAAAGATCGTCCATTATCACGTAAAAACCCTCTCAAAGTCAAAAAAGAATCCCACAAGATCACCAATGACGCGCCATTGCCAAAACCGATGAAACCGACCCGGCTGATACCGAATCGCATGGCTATCTATTCCGTGCCTCAAGGAGTCATCCAGGTCACTGCCCAAAACTTCAAAGACGTTGTCCAAAGCCTCACCGGTAATGGACAACCTACCGCACCCAGTGAAGCTTCTCCGGCAGCAAGGCTTGCTTCAACTGAAAGAACGGCTTCCAAGAAAAAAGAAAAGCTTTCTTGTAGAACTGGGGACGATGACATGATGAGGATGTTGGATAATGGCGTGCAAATGAGTCAATTTCCAGGAATCTTATTGCCAGAGCCGGCCACATCGCAGCCATTTCCTTCTGAGAATTTTTTGTCACAGACACCATCAGATATTTTCTCGTCAGACCCTTGGCCGATGATACCATCAGATAATTTCTCGGCGGAGACAATGCCACCAACACGATCAGATATTCTCACGACCGACACTTGGCCGCCGATACCGCCTGATTTTTTCTCGGGGATAACGTGGCCAGTGACACCAACCGATACTTTCTTGCAAGACACATTTCCGATGACTCCGTCAGGTATTTTCTCACCGGGGACTTGGACGCCGGAGACATTACAACAAAGACGGGCCGGTGTGTTTTCACCGATTTTAAGCCCGCAGTCGCAGACGGTGGTGTCTTATAATGACGTTTGGCCTGAGAACAACGCTTTTGCAAAACCATCGGAATTTCTTTCCCCTGAAGTTAGTTCGCCACAGTCGCCACCGATGCAGTTCAATCCTTTCGATTACAACTAAGTTTATTTTTTTCATGTTTTATACTCTTCTTTCTATTCTCTTTAATGGTTGATTAGAGAGATACATATAACATACAACATTGATTCAGTGTATTTTATTATGCCAGTTTTAGACAACAGAAGATAAAACTTTGCATTTGCATGTGTACACTTCTTCCTATTTAGCTTAACTTCATTAATTAACTCCTGTAACCAAAGAGTTTAATTAACTGGAAAAACACTTAACTTAAATGGTGCTAGTCTTATTTAGATATAAGATATTTTGTTTATTTTCACTATACACATCTTTTTTAAATGACATGAATTTTAATTGTTAGTTCGATTGATGTAATTCAACGTGTAAATATATAATTGAAAAATAAGGAAAAATTACGCGTAGAAGATATTAAAATGGCATAGAGACTTCAGCTTTTTCTTTTTTAAATAAGAAATTTGATATAAACCAAAACTATTATCTACTAGAATTTAGCATTTAGCATGCCACCCCTAAATTATATCTGACATTCTTTAATTTTCATATTTTTAAAATTCTCCCTGGTTGAAAAAAGATCAAATTTTATATGAAAATTCGGGTAGTTATATTGAAATTTTTAATATTGAATAAAATTTTCGGTAATGTATTTGAAATTTTCGGTAAGTTGCATTCAGTTTTAGAAATTTGCAATTTACGTGTTGATATTTGAAATTTCAATATTTTTGGTAGTATTATTTGTTTAATTTTTTGGATGATCGGGATTTTACTGGCAGTTTTTGGATGGCTGTGATTGCATCGACAGTTTGTGTGGTCCAAAATAAATACAAATGTGTATAAATAAGGGTTCACATATTGTTTGATAAACACATCACAAAAAATATATTTTCCTCAATTTTTGATTAAGGCAGAAGTTTACTTCAACGGAGTTTCTCCTCCTGTAGAGTTTCGGCTTCCAGATGGCACAACATCTCTTGTCAGCCTGACGTCCAAGTTGAATGAATTGTTGCCTGATGTCGAAAACAGAAAGGTGAGAAAGATCGAGTTTCGTGAATATTGGATTATTACTGACGGTAGGGTGAAATACAACCTTATTGAGTTGAAGATGGACGAAGATGTCAAGGAAATGTTGAGATCATTTCACTGTAGGATAACAAAGGGGTCAATCGAGTTAGATGATAAGCTTTCAAGATCTGTGGACGACATACTGGAGATGTTGAAACGTCCAGAAGCATCTGGTAGTGTTTAGGTTTTTCTTATTTAATAATCATATTGTAGTGTTAATTTTTTTCTATTTTAAGTTATGTAATCCATTGTAAAATGTCAGTTTATGTTCACGTTGCAATTTAAAGATCAATAACATTAGCAAATGAAGATGTCTGAATAATATTCAAATGAAGATGTCTGAATAATATACAAATGATACAAATAATGCATAATATAAAACATATTTAAATAGGCCCCGAACGGGCTATGTGTACAGCCCGAGATAATCCTATATAAACCTCGCCATCTAGGTTTACCAAACTCGTGAGGTTATCCATAATAAGTGCAACCATCTAGAGGCACTGCTGGTCATCGACGTGATCTACTGGAGGAGGAGGCGGCAACACGTTATCAACAAGGTACCCCGTCACCAGAAGGCCCAATATCAACTGAAAATTAGGTGATGTGATAGTGTGATACAATGAGGTACCACTATAAGTAATCATCTTCACACTGCAAGGGATGTTGAACAGTGACTGCTCGATCTCTAATAGCACGACTAGAACTGATGAAGTTACTCTGAAACCACAAATCAATGCCTGAAGATGGTATATCTGGAACTGGTCATGGGATACTCTGAACATAATCATACTCTCCCAGATACCTCTCAGGCAAGTGTCTAGTAACCATGGTCTTCCACCGCATATAACTTGAATATAATGACGACTCCTCGAACTAACGGTGGACTCTATGACTAGTGTATGGTGTCCAGATGACATCATCTACCATCAGTGCATCGAGCCTCCTCCTATACTCAGCAACACCACTTGAATGTGTCTACCTGGTCTTCCATATCTTCACCTGTGGGCCCCTTACCTCGCAATGTTGCACCCTCTTGTCATAGATGGTGGGAAAATGCTCGTATATCCAGCACTGATTTCAAAACAGAAACACAACAAATAATAAATAATAAATGCACAGCAAATACACAACAATTAAATAAGAAATCAACAACAAATAATAATTTCAAGTATACATATAACAGACTCAAATAACCAACAAGTTGTCTGGTCTCAAAGATTGTTGCCACTCCAAAGGTTGTATACAACTAGGTCAATACAACATACCTCCAAGCCCAACAGGTGTCCTGGAGGCTACTGATGAGGCACGCGTACCGAGCATCGATATAAACATCATACCTCCTAGTAGCTACAAGTTGATTGTATATCTTCCGAAGCATTTTATGTAGCATGTACGCCCTAGCGACAACCTCATGCCTCCTTGTGCACCTTCGCCTCAGAAAATCCTAAATCATGTGCAACAACCTAGCATGCAAGGGTCAGACTAAGTACGAGAGTCATCTAGAATCTTTCGCAAATGGGGAGATGGAATAATGCAGAGACATCATCCAGAGTGATAGTCATTTCCATGAACGCATGATGAAATGATGATGTCTCCTTGTGCCACCTCTTAACAAACAAACTAAGTAATGGAGCGTCGAGCATCATGAGGGATCTGTGGGCAAAATCTAGCAGCTGAAAGTCTCGTATAATCCGACTGACCTGCTCAGGAATCAGAATCTTTACGAAGTTCTTCATCCTCGACCCTTGCGATGTCACCTTCAGTGTAGGTCACTCATGTGACAAGAAAAAATAAACAAATTAATTGATACCTACTGTAACAAACACATATAAACAAAACTTAAAGTTAAACATAAAAAGCATATACCTCGCCCTGCCATAGTCGTAAGGCCGTATGCTCAGCATACTCTATAAGCATCGACCGGTTGATGGGTCCCCTAGGAAATCCTTCATTCGTGTACACATAAGGATCATTAGAAGGAGTTATAACCTTCATGTCAACAGTAATCAATAGGACCGACTCAGTAACAGCAGCATCTGGCTGGACCACCCGAGTAACTTCCTCCTCAGCAACCTCCTCATCAATTGGATCAGCAACGGGACAACAATTAGCTCAACAATTGTATCAACAACTCGATGATCCACAGAAACATATGGCACCACCTCATATGTAAGTTTCTCTACTAATCGAACCAATCGGCGTCAAGTGGAATGAGGTGCCCGAAAATGACCCCGCTCAGCCAACCGCTTCTGGTGTGAAATTATTGGGGAATCTCGTCCTTCCCGTAGCTGGGAAGACTCAGCATCAGCACCCCTGACATCCCTACTCTAATCTGTCGCTCGATCAACAACTCTCCCTGCAATAGTGTCATTTCTGCCTCTGGATTTCACTGCAAAAGAAGAAAAATCAATATTGCAAAAAAAATGACAACTACTGGAAATTTTAAAATTTTCGGTATAAAACAAAAATTTTGTACATATCGGAAATTTCAAAATTTCTAGTACAAAAACCATAGCGTATACCGGGAATTTCAAATTTTCCGGTACAAAACCAGATTTTTATAACTAACGGAAAATTATGAAATTTTCGGTATGAAGAATGGGATATGTACCAGAAATTTCAAAAATTCGGTAGAGAAATACCGAAATTTTCAAAATTTATGGTACATAATCCAGCCCAAAAAATAAAATAACTAGGCAAAAAAAAAATTTAAGAACACAATATCCAAAACTACCTCGTCATCAATCTAGCTTTTTTTTGAGGTTTTAACTTGCCACCCCAAAGCTAGAGGTTTTAACTTGCCCCCTAACCCCGCCCCCCCCCCCCCCCCCCCCCTTTCAATCCCTATGAAAAGACAATATTGATCTTGGAATATTTTTCATTTTCTTTTCAAAATTTACCTATTACAACCACGAATTTCAAATTGTCTGGGTGATATCGAAAATTTCATTTTTACTCTCGAAAATTACGAAATTAGTATGTTTTTTATTAAAATTGCAAAATTTTCGTGAACTTTTACCATGAATTTCTGGTATTTTTGAAAATATTTTTTATAGAAATTTTAGAATTTCCTGTACAATTGCTGTGCATTCCCTAGAAATTTAAGAATTTCCGGTACAATTGCTATGCATTTTCTCGGGAATTTCAGAATTTTTGATAGTTAAAAAAATGATTTTTCCTAGAATTTTCAAATTTCTGGGGAAATTAGGGAAATTTTAAAATTTTCTAAATATATCTATTTTTTCTGATTTTTGCAGTGAAATACAAGGGAAAGGTTGACATATTGCAGGTAGAGTGATAGATAGAGCGGAAGCCCAGGCTAGGGTTGCTGAGGCTCAATCTTCTCAGATAGGGGTTAGACGAGTGGTTACAACCGATTCACACCAGAAGTGGTTAGCTGAGCAGGGGCAGTTCCGAGCACCTCGTAGCACCTAACGACGACCAGTGAGATTAATTGAGCAGTCCAGAGATGAAGTTGAGGTTGTTCATGTTCAGGATGTGCATGTTTAGGATGTTCATGATCCATCAAACGCAACAGATATGACAAGTGTTATTGTTAAGGTTGTTGATGAGGCGATTGTTGATGAGGTGGTCCAGCCATTGTTGATGAGGTGGCTGCCATTGATCTGGTCACATCTCATAATGTTGACACATAGGTTACAACTCATTCGACGGAGTTGCTTGTGCATACTAATATAGCATTCCCGGGAGGACCCGTAGACAGGTTTATGCTTACCGAGTATGTTAACCATGTGGTATATCGACTATGGCAGGGAGAGGTATATATATTTTATGTTTAACTTTAATTAATTTATTATTATTCTATGAAAGCTAACTGCTAATTGTGTTTAAATTTGTTTGTTATAGAACTGCCTCCCATTGAAGGTGACATCGCACGAGTTGAAGATGAAGAACTTCTCGAAGACTCTGATGCCTGAGCAGGTCACACATAGTGTACACGA